GATCTGCCTCACCTGGGAAGAGCGCAATGATAATACCAACATGGGCCAGTGAAGCGACGTCCTCCACAACTAGACTGAAAAACAAAAGGACAGCAACTTGTCTGTTCCCCTTCCCTGATTCCCCAATGCTGTTCCCCTCCCCCAATTTCCCAATAAAATCTTTAAAAAAATAATAATAATAAAATAAAACATAAAAAAAATAAACCTCAATTTTCCTACTTAGAAATTAACCTGGTTAACATTTGTATATATTTCTCATTTTTTCTCTAGTGTTTTTCTTCATGGTTGTAGTTATAATTATTATTTTTTAACATAGTTTTTCTTGGCTTGAGTTCTCTAGAAACAAATTCTGAAATAAAGATTCAGGAGCACATAATTTATTTTGAAGGCACCTCCAGGAAACACAGATAGAAAAGTGGTGAAGAGATACAGGGAGGGGGACTGCCCCAGTCCTTATTGCTATGTAACAAGTTACTCCTTAGTGGTATAACACAACAGCCATTATATTTTTCAAGTAATTTTGTGCATCAGAAATTTGGAAAGGGGTCAATTGTGAAATGTCCTCTGAGCCTGCAGGCCTTTGAAGGCTCTGCTGGGCTGGAGGTTCCAAATGGTTCACTTCTACGGCTGAGGGCCCACAGGGAGCTCAGGTGGGGCTATGGACCAGAGCATCTGCAAGTGGGCTTTCCAGCACAGCAGCCTCAATGCGGTCAGACTTCTTACCTGGTGACTGGGTTCCCCAAGAGTGAGTGTCTGAGAGAACCAGGCAGAAGCTGATGGCCTGTTATAGGCTAGGAAATCATATGGTGTCTATACTGGCATACTCTTTTAGTCAAGGCTGTCACAAGCTCACAGGGGAGGAGACATAGACCCTACCAAAAAAGTGGGACCTTTTAAAAAATCATTATAAGAAAGAAGCCAATAAATTGTATGTAATTAATCCAATTGGCACTGGGTTGCAACTAGATCTAAGTTCTGCTGGAGAACTCTTGCAAACAGTACAGAAAACATCTTAACATTGTCCCCGAGGAAGCTAAAGTATTTAACCAGCAACTTCCCATCAGTAATTTGTTAGGGCTGGAAAGTTTGAGGAGGGAGCAATAATTCCCCTAGGATTTGATGGGCATTCCCCTAGTGTTGACTTCTAGCATGCTTCCTGGCCAGACGAAAGACTCGGGCAGAGTTTCCCATGGTCACAGCAAACAGTCTTTCGGGAACAGAGATCTGCACAGAGATGAATGCCGAGGGGTCCTGAGGACAGTCCAAACAGTGTCTCCTGCAGCTTATCAGAAGCTTTTTCCCTTGCCATCAAATATTCTTTGTGATAACTTGGCTACATAGGTATTTTGTTGTTTAATTAAAAATCATGCCACTGTGTCAGTTGGTGGGGTATACCTTCTCTGTGCATTTATAACATCCTATCCATACATCTCTCATTGCACTTAGCATCCTGTGTTATAATTAGATAAGTTGCTGCTTCTTGAAAATCAGGACAATGATCTCATCATTTCACCCCTCTCACCTAGCATGGAGCCAGAGATATAATAGGCTCTCAAGAAAAGCTAGTTGAATGAATGAATAAAAGATTATAATAATTATAATAGCTTTTGTTTACTAGGGTTTAATGTGTGCTGGGCACTGTGTTAAGGGATTCACACATATTGTCTCATTTTATCCTTAAACAATTTAATGAGGAAAGTACTATTATTTTCATTTTCCTGATGAGGAAACTGAGGCTCTGAGGGCTTAGCCCACCTGCTCTAAGTCACAATGCCATAGGTGGTAGGATGGGGACTGGAATCCAAGTATGTCTGACTACAGAGCATACGTTCTTAACCACTGAGTAACATGGCTTCCAGAGGCCATGAGCATCTGATCCACAGCCCTGAACCTGCAAAGGCTCTTGGAAAGAAAACTAGTAAAGAGAGGCTTAGGAGGTCATTGTTTAGTCCAAAGTCCAAAGCATGCAATTCTCCCACATTAAGCTTCAACGGCCTCCTACTGAACAGTGAATGAAACCCCAGGTCTGAAAAATGGCTTATGAGGATTTGAACAACAGGTCTCTGCCTTTCTCCCCATATTCATGTCCTCCTGCTACACTGTTCACAGCATACTGTTGTTCCCTCCATAACTTGAACACTTCAAACTCTTTCTAGCCTCAGGCCTTCGCATATTCTTTGCCCCTGCCTGGCTTGCTCTTTTCTATATTCTTCCCTTCCATATCATTAGCTCTTTCATGTCTCTGTATAAATGTTACTTCTTCATAAAAGGTTTTTAAAGTAGGTCCCCATGATAATCTGCCTCACCTGCTTGTTTCCTTTACAGCATTTAGGATAATTTCTAAGTATTTTCCTTCATTTGCTTAGTTTTGTCTGCCCTTCTCCTAGAAGGGTCGTTAGAGCAGGGTTTGTTTGTTATGTTCCCAGCACCTAACACTGGATATGAATGGATAAATGGGTGCTAAATAAATACTGGTTCAAAGTTGTATACCTATTGGATGGTTACTATAAAATAAAATTTAAAAAGCACAAAAGAACGCGTTTGTGAGGAGAAATAGGAATACTTTTACACTGCTGGTAGAAGCATAACACAGTGTAGCCCCTATGGAAAACAATATGGTGGGCGGTTCCTCAGATAACTAAAAGTGAAATTATCATATGATCTAGCAATTCCAGTTCTGGGACATAGCCAAAAGAATTGAAAGCAGGGACTTGAAGAGATATCTCCACACCCATGTTCATAACATCATTATTTTAATGGCCAAAGAGTAGAAGCAACCCAACTGTTCATTGATGGATTAATGTATAAACAAAATGTGGTATATAAGTAAAATAGAATATTTTTCAGCCACAAAATGAAGAAAATTCTGACACATGCTGTAACACTGATGAACTTTGAGGACATTATTTTAAGTGAAATAAGCCAGTCACAAAAAGACCAACACCGTATGATTCCAATCATATGAGGTACCCAGAAGAGTCAAATAAAAGAGACAGAAAGTAGAACTGTTGGTCCCAGGAGATGGGAGAAGGAAAACTAACTAGTTATTTGTTTAATGGCCACAGAGTTTCACTTTTGCAAGATGAAGAGTTCTGTAGACTGTGGTGTTGGTAGCATACAATGTTTTAATGCCATTTAAAAACAGTGGAGATGGTAAATGTTATATGTATTTTATAAGAAAAGAAAGAAAGAGAGAGAGAGAAAAAGAAAGAAAGAAAGAGAGAGAGAGAGAGAGAGAAAGAAAGAAAGAGAGAGAGAGAGAAAGAAAAGAGGGTAGGAAGGGAGGGAGGAAGAAAAAGGGGAGAGCAGGGGTGGGGTAGAGAGGAAGGCAGAAGGAAAGGAAGCTGTGTACCTGGTTAGTAGCATTGCTGGTCTCCTGGCTCCCAGTCCAGGATCCTGTCGTTTATATAGTCTGGCTCCTATCAGAGTGCATTCTGTTAACTAAGCATTATAACTATTTCCTTTCCCAGAAGAGAAAAACTTATTAGGACACATCAAAAAGGAACAATACTTATTTTAGAATTAGAAGAAACTTCAGCATTTACTTAAACCCACAACTTCTATATTAGTCAGAGAGAGGCTAGGGTTAACATAGGCAGGAAGCCATTACTGCTATGGCAGGTTGAGGAAAGGGGGTAAGGGGAGAGTGGTAACTGGAACTGGAACTGGGGTTGTAGGAGAGGCAATGACCTTTGGTAAAGGAATGTGGCTGTTGCCATGCACTGCTAGCAAGAAGGGAGCTGGCCAAATAAAAATGCCTTCTTCTGATTTTCTGCAGGTGCCTCCTATTGGTTGAATCCATGTGAAAGTCACCAGACAGAAAAGCCCATTAAAGCCATTCATAAAGACCCCAGGACATAGAGTAGAAGAGGAAGATGGAGAATGGAGAACGGACCTGGAGGTGCCTTCAT